TATCAGTTTCACTGATATACCCTTCGAATTTTAATCACGTGAGCGTCATAGAACCTGTGTTTATATATGCCTTAATGGAACTACTTAAAACACAAGTTAGCGGACATATGTCCTTATAAATAAATAACGAATTTAAAGTAAATAGGTAAAAGATGTATCTGCTTGTCTCCCAGCGGTGTTGTTGATCTATAAATCCTGTATAGAAATCGGAAATTATGCAACACTAAGTAAAAATACAATTGAAAGCATTTGTTAGGCGCGTAACAGGAAGACATTGATTTGGGACCTTACTATGCCAAACTAGTTATATAGGTAATATATATTTGGTAAATGTTTCCTAACATGGATCGAATTTAAAACCAGAGTTTTTCTCTCAGTCGATTTTTAAAAATCCATTTTCAAAGACATTTGTTTGAAAACTATTATTTAAGCGAAAACAATGTTAAGCGCCAAGTCTAAAGTATGTTTGTACCTCAAAGGCTAAATTAAACACAAGGAATAATTAAATGAGGTTGGAAATAATTATGAGGTTGTGGTCCGAGGCGAATTTAGATATGTGTTTGTTGCTTAGGTTTTTGAACTCTTTTGCCTTCTAAAGCACGGCTGTTTGGCAAAACGAAAACTCACACGGGCCTGTGTATTTTGTGACTATGCGAGGAAACCAGAAAAATTTCTTACCAACAAGGTCCTGTTCTTTCAACCAAGGTAACCGTCTGCAATTCGATTCAGGTAGAAGTTTCTCCATTTTAATATGTCCATACCCGCTTTTTAAACCCCCCTAACTACATTTCAAGACGCCAGTCGATATGATGGGGTGAAAGCAGATGTGTAATGACCTTCATTCCTGTCGCGAGGCTGCACGTGCCACACACCTGTTGCCGGGATACGCTACCAGGCGTATTAGGATGGTATCAATAAATACAAATTAATTTTGCTCATTCAGCGAACATGTAAATGTACAAACATATTGAGTATTTTAATGTGATCCAATAGGCTTGTTTACGGAAAATTCTGTTTCTTTATATTCTATTTGTGATTGAAATGTTCAGCGAAGTTTGGTGTTTGCAGGGGAGAAAACGAATTTCATGGGAACTACAAGGGAATCTTGAAGCCTTGGAGCCAATTATGTACCACGGCAGGAGTTTTTCATGGTTTTCTATGGGTTTGCAGGAATTGCATCTCGACCTTAGTCCTCTAACCATTAACATGTGATACATTTAATTACGCTGTAATGGATTCTGTGGGCATAATAAGAGCCCAGTGTTTATGAAACACTTATACAGCCAATGAGTTCTCGGCTCATATTTCGTCCAGTTTTACAAATAATGTATAAGGGCCAGTCTAATACACGAAGCAAAGGTCGCAGTAGATAAGTCATGGATGTACATAAACACATTTCAAAGCATTATTAAATACTGAAAAAAACACGAGGCAGGTGGATAAAAGCTAACTACGATATTGCCAAACTTGTTGTAGTTAAGGTGCGGACTGGAAATATGTGCAGATAATGAGCGGTTTCACCCAATTAATTCGTGCAATGAGGTCATTTCAAAGAGAGTTTCGTTTCACATGCGCGCCATACTTTTACAATGCATCCTTCGGCCTGTATATTTATAAATGTATACATGTATAATATTATTATGTTAGTGCATCATTGAGAGACATCAGCAAATAACCTTGAAGAAGTAAATAATAATAATAAATAATTTACAAAATCTCCGATGTAGTTCTCTATACCAACACCAGAGGGCATGAAAGACACGACAAAGGGTAATTGTATGCCCCACAATTTGATACAGTGCAGCAAACAGCTTCTGCTGAAATACAAAGACAATCAGACCAGCGCAAGTCTATGCGGAGGTAACGTAATCGCCCGTCTCCTCTTAGCGTGATACCGTTTTTACTGTCTTTGGTGACTGAGATCCTTTAATAAACATGCGCTCTAATTGTCTTATGTGGTTTTGTGAAACTTTTGACTTTTATCACCAAATGCAATTTTGTATCTGCTGAAGTTAATTCGGGAGTATTAGTGTCTGTTTTGCACATTTTCGCGGTGTTCATCTTCAGCATGTTCGGTTTTATGCTTGTTTAATAATCTTAAATTCGGCGTGTGATTTTAAACAGGGTACTTATCTTTTATTGTCGCTACTGGATTTTATTACTTCTTTGATTATTGCGAAGTTAAACGCATATATAACGTATAAACAATTTTAGACCCTCAGTGCGTACCATGTTTTTATTTGTGTTGTCATTATCGATGTGGTTTTAATTTAGCCTACTTAACATTTAAACAAAGGATAAATCATCAAATGCAGGTAGCATAGCTGTTTTTGGAAAACCTACCTCATTTACTCATTTAATTAACTGAACACTATGCCTTACTCCACAATTTGGCCTAAATATTTTGCGTCATCTACCGTGTAGTACAATTATTAAAATTACACATTACAACATGTTCTCCAAATAGTCTCATGTTATTTGCATAATACGAATACTTACGTAGGCTATTTACTGAGAAAATTTGGTATTATCATCGGTGTTGCTAATTCGAAATTCATTTTAGGCCATTGTAAAAAAAAATCATTAAATCATTAAAACATTAAAACGCATTGATTTAACTTGTTTAGTTTAGTTGTTAAACACATCAATTTCTCTAAGGAGAACGATTGTTTAATTACAAATGTCTCTTCCTGAAACTTGACTGCGCAAATGTTTTATTTAATAACTGTATATATTTTTTTAATTAATCTGGGGTATAAAATGTGTATATTCACAAAACAAGTAATTGAACTATGTTGCTTAAGTATAAAATAGTGTATAGAACACATGGATTTTGGATAGGCGCGTTCAACTGTTATGTTTCCATGCAGATGCTTCTTACGTCTTTCATAAATTTCCAATTTTATGCCTGATTTGAATGAGAAAACGGGGAGGTGGGTATTTACAACGGGGAAATGGGTTGCGTATTAAAACTATTGCTTTACATAGATGGAGAAAAAAGTGAAGCTATGGAGATTAAGAAAATAGGTAATGATCTGTGTCTCACCTGATGACCGCATAAACCCTGTGATACGGCTTTGGTACACAAAGTACCTGCAGGGGGGATTATCTTGGGTTAGGGCTGCGTATATATTACGCCCTGTAATTACAATATGAGTTCAGAAGCCGTTGGTGGGGTTGCAGGAAAGACAAACAAAATCGCGTTGCTTTTCTCCACATCGCAGTGGTGCGATCTACCACGACGATGGAATATGGTCTTTCTATTTTCGCTCTGAATATAAACATTTACTTCGTAAAGTCGGCATTATGAAATAATTGCCTTATGGTTAGAATCAAGGTACTGTAACACAAATCCAGTATAAAATACATTGCTAAATTTATATCGGCTGTATAAAGTTAAATAGTATAGCCTGCATGGCCGTACCCTTAAGAGATCAGATGTAATTATGATCCTACCATTACCGTTATGACTCTTGTCTTGACAATGGTATATTTTAAAAGTTATCATTTTTAGGGCCGGTGATACATTCTATCCAGTGAATTTCACTACTTCTGCAGGCTATATTAATTTCGGTACTTCCATATCCAGAGTATCGCTTATATACCTAAAACCAATTTGCTTGTAGTGCCGTAGGGATGTTGCGGGAGGGGGGGGGGGATAAAGTCCACTCAGTTTAATTGGGAAGGAGAGCAAACGGGCAAAAAAGTTACGATGATAAATACCGAGTTGAAAGTGGTCTGTTTTCTTCTGTGCCGTCAAGTTGAAAAAGAAAAACAATTGAGTTCGTACAGCATCTCGCGCAACAACCAGGGCCACGTGCAGTTAATAAACTCTCCAGAGATGAAAGGGACACCAGCGGTCATTACAGCCGTTGACACTGGACAAAGACATTATTTAGTCTAAATTAATTGCCTAAAATGCGAGGTATTAATAAAATATTAAGATGTTCCTCCATCGATTAGCCTTAGATAAGGAGTTTTAATTTCCATTTCTGTGCCGGTAAATAATCACCTGTATCTGGGATATTTACATGCCCCTTGAAAATGTTTTCAGGTCATGCCGCCAGTTCACATACTAACCAGGAATGATAAAATACTATTTATCTGTGATTTCGCATCGTAATTTCAAGTTAGGACTGTATGCTTTTTTTATTTATTTGAATTTATTCATTTATTTTGTTATATGCAAAAGATTTAATTTACTAATTGTTACTATAATACACTGCGCATTGTAATATAGTGTTTCATTGTAATAACTCGGACGTTAGGCGTTTTGTTCATTATTCTGGTATAAATTATATATTCAATATGCCGTGGATTCATAATAAGGAAGACGTGTAATAGACAAAGTAATAAAAATAATATATACGACCATCCCCAGCCCTTGATAATATATAGATTTCTATCAGCCGAATCCATTTGGATCGTGAAATGACAAAAGAGGATGTACGGTACATAGCAATTTAAAATATCTTTTTGGAATGACAGAAAATCATAGTTCCGAGATGAATGAAAAGAATAATAAATTAATAAATTTTAAGTTCTGTGCTATCTAAGGTTTTATCGGCGGATCAGTCATTTGGCTGCGCTCTTTGCATTCCGTCATCAGCTGCGCCGGCCGAGGCCGGTGTGCCGTGTAACGTTACCAATCGCCAGGTGCTTCGGCCAAAGGGGTCACAAGGCGCTCTCTTTTGTAAGGAGCACAATGGCGCAAAGCTTGCACACGTCTGCAGCCTGACGGCGCAGCCCGTGATTTGAAAGCCTTTAAACGCTGCCAGTGTTTTTATGAGCAAACACTAATTTTGAACACGCATTTTTAAATGCGTGCCAGTAAAGAAAAATGAAAACTGTTGAGAAGATCCTGATATGATTCGTCCCACCGATAGCAATAAATATTTTCCACGGCGACCTGCGGCGCATTTTATATCTACTTCATATACTATTATTTCCACAACTGCCGTCACTACTTTCATTAGCTTATTTACTTTCATGATTTTACGGCTGCTTTGAGTCTGTTTATTCGACTGCTGATATTGCACAAGTAAAAAACGAAATATTTAAAACAAATAATGTGCTGTAATGGTGTTTTTATTAGACATATAATTGCATGTGAATGTAATGTCTACGTTTCAAGCGGTGTCCCAAACGCCGGCGGCATCAGGTCAGGGTTTCAATGCTGTTCACTGTGTAAGCAGAATAAACGGTAGAAATTTCTGCCAAAGAATAGATCATCGTGCACATAGGCAATAGCACAGTATATGCTGACAAATGATAAGTACATTATTTAAAAAAAAAAAATGCGTTTGCAGACCTTTTTAATATTATCGCAGAATCGCAGCCTGTGTCAGGGGTGTAATTATTAAGTTAGTAGATATCAATGCTGTTACATTTTTCCAACTTTCCCAACCCCGAATTGTTTACGCTGAGCTGCCGTGTCTTGACGCGCTCGGGTAGCACTCATCCCGGTCCGCAGGACAGACACACGGCGTTGTAGTTGTCGGTTTTGGAGGCGGAACGGTTAGTTAAGCTGCGCTGCCACCATGAAAACTGCGCACCAATAGCATCCAAATGTCAGTAAATAGTCCAAGAAAAAAGTGACGCGGTCATCGAGTGGGAGGGCGCTTCCATTCGCCTCAACCTCAGCTTCGGACTTTTTCAGCAGCGGGGGTCTGTACGGCACATTTACCCCAGAGCTCACTCTGGAACCTCTCACCTCGCCTTTTCATGGATTAAACTCAGTTTCCTTAAAACTTTTTATGTTTTCTTCATCATTTTTCCGAGACGGAGAGAGAATCTCGCCTGAACGTTTCAAAACGCGCGCTGGCTGCTTCGATGCAAAGAAGCTTTACAAGCGTTCGAGTTAGTAAAGTTTGACATCTGAAGATTGCTTTTCGCAGATATTTCTCATTTTCCGTATCAGCATGGTGTGTTTTCTCGAGACTTGCTTGTGAAGGAACAACTGCAGATCACGATCCGTTGGCACTGGCTACCTACTCGGTGCTGCGACTGATTTAAAGGTACTAGCATACTCATAAAACATAAAACGGTTAATCCCCAGTATTGTATGCAAACTGTACTGTCGTCAAATAGTGTTGTGTGCAAAAAGAAGAATCTTAGAGAAAAAAGAACACGCTGACATCATATTGTTTTGGATATCGCAACAGGTCCCGTGTTGCTGGAGCGGTGCTCTCTGTGAGGAATCAGCCTGACTGCTCAAAGATGCTGGACGGTATCAAGATCGAAGATCACCTAAGATCTGGCCCGGCTGCTTTGGGGGTTATGCTCGGTAGGTTGTCTGGGCAGTCATATATGGAACACATATGTTTACTGCACTGTTTTAAATGAAGTTTCCAATGCTTAGTTTAAGAGTGTTTACGTGCCGTAAATCATCGTGCTAGTTACACTGTATATTGCACCGCGTTACAGGAGATCCAACATAACCCCTTTAGTCGTTTTTGCGATCAGGGCACCCACAGTGACATCGCCTTATTTTGGACCATGTTTTATAATCTAATTATGATATTTTTTGCTATTAATCAGTCAAGCATGCTATTGCTCATGTTTATTCCGTGGGTCTCCAAAACATTTTAAGTTATTCCTTAAGCTGCATTGCCTCTACCATCTTTTAAGTTTTAATTCTACTTTTGGTTCGTTTGTTATTTCCATGCGTACACCGGTTATGTCCCTTTCATGTTCCATTATTTTAATAAATAGCACTTAAGCGTCACGCAGATAATAACAATAATAACGATGGATAGTATGCAGACGTTACAATGCTAATTTAATGTCATTTCAATTAGACATTTTTATACTAAAATACGTGATATATTAATATGCATTTTAGTTGCACTAAGATTTATTTTCCTGTGCATTGCGTTTCAAAAGAAACAATAAGTAAATGTAAATGTCGTACTCGCGTTGATTAAATTTAAAACGAGATTAACGAAGTGTTGCCCCCCTAAAAGCTGTGATTTTCTTTGGCCAGGGACAGAGTGCCACCATCAGTCTGTGTGCGAGGGATGCCAGAGGCCCATATCCGACAGATTTCTGATGCGAGTGAACGAATCCTCGTGGCACGAGGAGTGTTTGCAGTGCACCGTGTGTCAACAGCCGCTCAGCACGAGCTGCTACTTGCGCGATAGGAAATTATACTGCAAGCTGGACTACCAACAGTAAGTGCACGGGGTTTATTTTCTAATTTTCCTCATCTTATTTTAGAACTTTACCGTTTCTTAAAAGTCAAAGCACATTTGTTGTGTTGTTAAGTAGGCTATAACGATTTGGAAAACACTATACTTTCGCGAGGAGAACTGTGAACAATCTGAAAGGAAATGTTTTGCTTTTGAGAAATATGACTGCTGAAATTGATGAAATTCAGGGTCATTAATGTTTGTGGTGGCATAGAATTATATACAGCTGTAAGTTAATTTATTGATGAAATTTAATGTTAAGGTATAGCTTCATTTGACATTGATTTCAAGAAAAAAATTCCATTTGATTATTTTGTATGCAACCTTGTCGTTTGACTTATGAGGTATACGTATCCGCTTCCGAAGCACGTTTAAGCTTTATTTATAAACTGACAAGTTGCATAAAACATTTTCCCATGTACTATTTTAGAACTATAATTGTTTAACCTTTGTATAATTTATAAGCCAATTTAATTTCAAAGCTTAGAAGTATACTATCCGTTGATGAATAAATTGTTTAATTTGTATTTAATCTATTTATTTGTTTAGTTGCCCATCGGGCATGCCTGCAGCTTTTTAGTGGATTGCTCGCTTCGACCTACTAACTTGGCGTAGATGATACCGGAACTGCAGTCTTTTATCGCCGAGATTAAGGTGCGCGCGCGGGTGTGTGCATGAATCCATGAGTCTACATGAAAAATGCACGATTATAATTGAATGTATAGAAATAGTTTAATTTCTAGGTAAAGGAAACATCAGTACATTTCGTTTTCGAAAGGCAAAAATTAGATTTTTCAAAAATGTCCAGTGGAATATATTTTAAAGATCACAGGTTTATATACAGAATCAAATATTTAATGACAGTATGTAATTAATACATAAAAATAACTCGATTACTTATTTAATTAAATCATCAATTAACACTATAAAGGACTGAAATTGCAAAACTTGGCTGGAGCAGTAACAAAAAAAACAAATGAAAATTATAGGTCTATATGCAATGAAATAAAAGCTTTACTTATCTGTAATGTAGCTAATTAATTACTAATTTTATTCTGTTCTGGTAAAAAACGTGGTAAAAATTATGGTTAAAAAAACATAATTATCCAACTTGTCGATTGTTTGACGCAACCTTAAACAGAAAAAGAAATACATAATTTCTCTGAAACACAGAAAAAATATTTTACAGAAAGCAAGAACACCGTTGTTTAGTGTTTGAATGAATGTTATTAGAACTTTACTATTTTTAATATTTATTGTTTTATTTATTGCATTAAAATAACACATTTATTTGATTTAAAATGTAGATATCCAGACCGACTATTTTAAAATATGAAATTTAGAAGTTTACATGATTTGTGAATATTTAATCATCTGTTTTTTGATAATTTAGTTCATCATAAAGATCTGTTTGTCCCCGCTCGTTTACTGACCCTCTGTTAATCCGTAGACGTTTACGCATATTAAAAAATCCACTTTGCCCGAAGGAGAGACGCGAGCCGCGCCGGAAAGCGTCGGTCTGAGGCGAAGCGGCGAGGCCGGAGCGCGGGAGAGAAGCAGGCGCCGGGGGCGAGTCGTGTCCGGTGCTGGGAAGTCGCACGGCGGACTTGAGTGATATGCAAAGCCAATTCAAGCAGGACATCAGATGGGGAACCGATGCCCATGATCTCATTTTAACGGTTCGTTGGAGCAAACCTCTGAAGGATCACCGGGCCAACCGTTATTAAAGGGGCTGGGCAAAAAAATAAATAAAAAAAAATAAAAAAAAAAAACTAGAAAAATATCGCGCGTGTATATAAACCATATTTTTAAATGACTACCATTCCATTTAGAATGGAGAGACGCTAGATTATAATATCAACAGTAGTTCATGAGTTAGTCATAAGCACGCTTTTTGTTGCGGGGGTGCCGTTTAATTCTCCTTGCAGACAGTGTGGGCAAAAATTGCGGACTGTGCGTTGTCTCACACTGAATCTCGCAGCGTGAGTCCTCTATATGCTTGTCACTAACTTTTAGGGGCTTTTTGTGTCAGGGGTTTAAACATTGCTACTTCAGTCCCTGGGACATTATCACTCGCGGCCAGAGGCTTGGCACCAAACAAAGAGCAACATCTATTGGTTTGCATCACTTTTTTTGGTGTTCGGCATTCAGCCGGCTTCCCCGACATGATCGTAAGCAGTCAGCAGTGACAATGTGAATTTCATAGCTTGGGGATGGAATTCCAGCGCCTGGGAAACGCCAGCGCAGGCCGGCAAGGGGCAAATATTGTCCCGGCAAGTGTTGCCGAGGGTTTCATGTTTGACTTGCGACTCTTCTGTTGGTGGTTCCTTGCCGGGACTGTCGCCTGTCTGTGTGTGTGTGTGCGTGCGAGGGATGTTTAAAGAACTTGTGCATAATATCAAAGCTGGCCTGACAATAGGCTGTATTGGGCTCTGGGGATTTTTTTTTAAAATTAGATAACAGACAGTATCACAAGTCAAGAAATTAAAAAACTCTCTCATTGAAATGCCTCTTACTATAATTCACGATTTCTATCAATGAATATTAATTAGTATTTGTAAGAAGATGTCCCCGAGGAGACAAATCAATTAAACCAGTCACGATTTGTAACCAGTTCTTTTAGGAAAACACCCATACTACTATCACTTTGGCATAAATTTATGAACTATATTGTTTTACCTATATAAAGAAAGCATACATTGAATTCAGAGGAATACAATGTATATAACAGGGTGAGAATTTAATTCTATGTTATATAATAATATTTATAATGCAATTCATCAGCATAATTTCAGCAGTAAATTTTTTGATAATATTCTAATGTTAGGACACATGAAGAAAGCTGCATTCTGCCTTGCTGGCTCTCTTTTTCTTCTTTTTATTTTTTATTTTGATTGTCATCGACATCAAACTCTTCATCACCCTGTCATGCAATCCCTAACCCCCCAGCCCTGAGGCTTGCGCGCACGTGTGTGTGTGTGTGTGTGTGTGTGTGTGTGTGTGTGTGTGTGTGTGTGTGTGTGTGTGTGTGTGACCTCCGCAGGCGGCAGATCAGGCTGGGCTCAGCTCCCATGGACATTCGGGTGACTGTCAGACTGGGTGTCAAACACCGTTTTCCTCGAAGGCGTGTCTCCCTGCTGGTGATAGACCCTTCAGTGTAATTAACGCCTTTTTAAGTCGCTTTTTTTGACACTCATTGAGCTTCTGTTAGCCAGCCTTAGAAAAGTTGTTGGCTGCAAGTGAAGCTTCTGGCCACGATGGGTGTGGTGGGACATCTCATTTCCAAATCCAACTGTGACTGAGGTCTATAATTAACCTTTATGGTAAATCACAATGGAAGAGGTACACCCTTTCCACCAATCACAATCGGGCTTACTGGAAGGTGGTTTCATGCTCCAAAATCAGTGGGCGTCGTCGATGGGACACGCCCAAGCCTCCTTCTGGCACAACAGGTCTCTGTGTCCTGGCCTTGGTTTGATATTGTACTTGCTGATTATGCGGTCAGCTGATCAAAGGGGACATCTCCCAAGGTGTTTGACACATAATATCCTAAGATCACAGCAGCTCTTGGTGGCAGGGGGGGCGCTGGCAGATTCTGAGGGCCCAGCCCTAGACAGGGGCCTTTTGGTACATAAAATTATATGTAAAATTTTGTCAGGGTGCCCAGAATTTCTAGGTATGCCCCAGACGATCACACATGTGCATCTACAACGATGGGAAATTCCAATACGCTGCTGCACATGTGTGTGTGTCCATGCGTATGTCTGGGTTGACCTGTTTTTTTGGTCACATTAATACACGAACTTCGTAAAAAAGAGGCTGATTCCAGCAAAGCCAGTCTCTGTTTTTTGTGCTCTTTTTGTTCGCTGTCAGTAACAGCCAGTTTTACTGTGTAGACGAGCAGACGAATATTAATAGTTTTCTGGAACAATTGAACAGCACTAATTATGGAAATAAGTAAATATTTAGTGGTTTGATTATAGAAAGAAGAGTCATATGAAATATATTTCATGTTTCAGCACAACAATGAGCAGGAATGGGTTAATGTCACAAGCACAGGGAGCTTCTAGAGGTTTCCATAGACAAACAGGTAGGGAAATGCTAGTTCTGAGCTGTCCCAGCTTGAGAGGGATTGGCACAGTCAAACCCGGGACCGTGGCGGGGAAGTAAATATTCCCCTTCTTCCTTTTTCATTGTAGGTTGCGGCAAAACGATTCATCCAGTTTTTCCTGTTGCTGGCATATTATTGTTATATGAGTTAAATGTGTATGTGTGTATATATGTGTGTGTGTATGTGTGTGTGTGTATATGTATGTGTGTATGTGTGTATAATTATGTGTGTGTGTATGTGTGTATATATGTGTGTGTGTATGTGTGTGTGTGTATGTGTGTATAATTATGTGTGTGTGTATGTGTGAATATATATATCTGTGTGTGTGTGTGTATATATGTGTGTGTGTGTGTGTGTGTGTGTGTGTATATATATGCAGCTGTGATTTTACGACCAATTCAGTGTTGCATCACAGTAGCATGAGGCCAGACATTAGTTTGAGGTCAGATCTTCTATCAGTGACACAGAGGAAAAATGTTATTTTCCAGGAGTAAACTACCCATGGGTGGCATAGCGGTTAAGGATATAATGTGATTTGAAGGTTACTGCTGCAAGTTGATGGTTGTTGTATACCTGAGCCAGTAGTTATTAATCTACAAGAATATATATGTACACACACACACACATATCTATATATGTGTGTGTGTGTGTGTGTGTGTGTGTGTGTGTGGATTAGGTTTATATTACATTGTGGGGACCAAATGTTTGACTTTGCGAGGACCATTTTTCGGGTCCCCACAAAGATCTGTGAATGCAATCAAAAAAGTTAAAATGCCAAAAGTCTCGTATTTAGTTTGGTTACTTATGATTAAGTTTAGGGTTGGGTAGGGGTTAAGGTCGTCATGTTAGGATTAGAGTTTTCACCGTGGAA